CTTTCCCCGGAAGTGCGTCTCCGCAAAGCGAGACACAAAAAAGCACAGAACCACCAAAAGAAAGCGTAAGGAAACGTGTGTGAAAGAGCGGTCAGAAAGTGACCGCTTGAAATCAAAGTGTTTCCTCTTTGGGGCGTTGACTTCCAAGCGCTTTGGCCGCGCCCATACAATGCTAGAGCTTGTCATTGTGCAGAATGTGGCCCTTATATCTTCCAGGTTCCACTCCTTTCTGCGTTTTGGAAAATACTATTGTATACGGCCGAAGCGGCGACAGGGTCGTAATCTGTCACAGACAAGGTGATTAGCGGGTCGTAATTTGAGAGCGCACGGGTCGTAATTTCAAGAGCGAGGGTCGTAATCTGTCACAGAAGGGGACACACAGATCCCCCAGCCAGATATGCGTTTCGCCATCCAGCAGAGAAGTAAAGCAAAAAAGCGAAAGGGGCAAGGCCCAACAAAAACAACCAGGAACAAAGATTTGCCATGGACACAGTGGTATAAAGACCGTGTCGCAATTCAAAAATGTGCAACAAACGAATTGGTTACCACCCAGTAAGGTGAAACACGCGTTCTTACTTGTTGCTGCTGACAGACAACAAGAGAATGCATTAGCTGACACTATTGCCACTTAGCCTCTCAGAGTCCTCTCACAGTTTCTTGTTCAAGTGTTCAGTTCAAGACTGAAAGAAATTGCCGTGTACCGAACGGTCTATTCATGAGCAGGGAGAGTGTACTGTTCCAGATTACTCTTGTGCCGCCCCCCATGCGGGGAGCAGCTCCGTGGCTGTGGCAAAGACGGTCACCTAGGGCCAGTAGGTGACCAGTCGTGGTCCACCACTTATCAAGTCTCTGGATGGACATGAATACCGTGCCAGGTCGAAAGGGCGAACATTCCTGGCACAACATGTCAGGAAAAGATTTTGGGGATCCCTCCTAATTATAGTAAGTATCCCGAGTCCACGTTGGACAAAAAAAAATTCAAACGTATTGAAACTGAAAACCTCCAAAATCTCAAAACCGCGGTTCATCTTGTAAATTGCAAAGTAAAGTGTATAGATTTTGGACTCCCAAAGATGGTCCTCCCCAGCAGCATACCTTTTTCGATTGCAACCTGCCCAAAGTGGTGAGGTTGCCAGTTGATGCTTAGGTATTTTGTGATGTCGATTGGGACTGCACCGTGCAAAGTGTTGGTGCCGTGACAGTCAGCAATAACCCCCTGTGGCAGAAGGTAACCGACTTTCTGCTATTGCCACCTGGGCCATGATTGTTTGCGTTGGGTCCCGGCAGGCGATCTCGTCGCGTAGTGGTATAATGCCCGTCTCAGGACCGTGCATACACAGCTAGCCGCGGATCGATTCCCCCCGGGTACGGGGCCGCGATCGTGACGTGGTAGACGAGTAAGTCTCAAAGTGGTGACCCGCCGAAAGGCACAGGGCGCCGGCCACAAAAAATGTTTGCGTTGGGTCCCGGCATTTTTTTGGTTGCAAGTCTGACACTTCTGGCTGGGGGAAGTGTGATTCGCTCTTTCGGTTTGTTTGGATTTGATTTGTGTTGTTATCCCAGGGTGACTCAGGGTTGACGGCAAAACCTGGTAAAAAAGAAAAAAAATGTGCCGGCAGCTTGGTCCTGCGGAGGATTTGTCTGGGCCGCAGTGGGTGTTCCTGTGACCTTCTGCGGAATGTACGCTCAAGCTTTTTTGACAACCACAAGAACTCCTGAAGTTGACCAACCTTCTGGAAGATAGAAAAAACACTTCTGAGAGGAGTCTGAGGTGGCTACCGGAGTGTGCAGCTTTACATAGCACTTCGCAAGTTTGTTGCTGATTCTCACAGTTGTACAGCTTCTCACCCCTTTTTGGGCCATAGACCTACCAATTTGTTTCTTAGTGCACTTTTCGATGACACGTTGGGTTTACCCTCCGTGTCCAAGGCAATCCTGTGTTTCTGGTGTGGGTGTTTTTGTTGTGGCTCCGGCCCCTTTTTGTGTTGTTTTGCTGTGTTTCCTGTTGGCGAAACGCAAATCTGGCCGGGAGATTTGCGTGTCGTCGCTGTTTTGCCTGGTTTTTGTTTGTGTTTGGATTTGCCTTGAATTGTGGAACCAAGGTATTTCACAATGTTTGCATTTTATTCACCCGCTTCTCTCATTGTTAGGACCCAGCCTCAGAGCGAAATCGGCCGCAACAGAGGGAAACAAAAAACCTAGGAAAAAAAAGATCGTCGTGCTTCTGCTTATCTTGGGCGTGCCTTTGTCTTGGCACAAGGCAGCATTGTCCCCCCACAGTGGATTGGATTCCGTCCCTGCCTGGGCAGTATCAGTCCCACGCAGAAGGTCGTTGATCAACTCACGGTCATGCAAGCCCAAAGCAGCGTCAACTCCGTGATCTACAATCTCTGATTGGCAGGTTGTTGTAGCTGACATCTGCGTGGCACTACTTGCGCCCCCTGCTCAGTCCTTTATATAGGGCATTGCACCGTATCCCTACAACCACAATTGATATGGATCACATCACCTTCCAGACTTTTGTCAACAATTTGAATGCTCGCTTGCACCTGGACTCTAGTCGTCCTCGTGGCTGAGTTGGTATGGCGTCGTTCTTGATGCCGCTGACAGACTGCCCCTGGTGGTTCAATTCCGTGCTGGTCCGCGAGCAAGACTCAAGTCTAAAGGACCGTGCTTCAGAGCATTAACGGCCGTCTGGACAAAAAAAACCCGCTTGCACCTGGACTCCATAGGCAGATTGCCATCAATCGTTTCTGCCAGGTGCTGTTGAGGGTTGCGAACAGCAGCAACGTGAAAAAAATTGAAAAAAGTACGATCTATGCATATCAAATCACGCCGCGTCTGGGTTGTTTCGGTATAGGCGACACCGGACGCTATGGCATCCAAGGATGTTGCAGGGCTGGGTGGAGCGGCTTTCTTCAACGATGGATCGGTGGTCTGGTTCCAGCTTCGTATTCATTTGGCTAATGCTCAATCAACCTGGGGTTGGATAGGTGACGACATGCAGAAGCATATCGCTGCTTAGGAATTGCTGGCGCAGTTTGCCTTATCGTATTGCATCGAATCGCACTTGCCCAATTCATGAGGACCGATCGCTTGCCATCAGGCTAATGACAACAGTGCTGCCGATGCAGCGTCGGCCAAAAGATTGACGATGACCAAAGCACTTGCAGTGGTTCTGGCTCCTTATTTTACTTTCACGCGGCGATTCCACTTCTACCCACACATCTTTCATATCCCTGGGCGCTTGAATGTATTGGCTGATGAACTCAGCCGCTTCAAGCAGCCGTTGTCATTGCATCTGGACCCCAATGGATTCTACGCCATCCCTTGGAGAGATCTGCTTCAACTTCCTGGCATTCTGGTGGCTCAGCATGGTCGAAAGTGGCCATCGCACTTTAACATTCAGCAGCGTAAAAAAGAGTTGCTGCAGTCCGCCGACTGGGTGCCTCAATCGATTAGTTTTTTGGGAGTTCATACTCCGGCCGGTCCATTTTCGATAGGGTTTGGTGCCTTGTGAACTCCCCACCTTTATACATCGATCTTAACATGCCCCGGCTTCTGGGTTGTTTGATCGTGTTGTGATGGGGGGTACAAAATCTTTAGGTCGTCATGTTGTACAAACTGGACCCGCTGGTTCATATTAGTGTGTATTGGGTCTGACCTAACTGTTGCACCACGCCTACAAAGAACTATGCACCTTTTGCGGCAGCTCTTGTGTTGAATGTTTCTTGTAGTCTAGTTTTGGATGTTGGGAAGTTGAAGCAACGGAAACCAGTGTGTGAACGAAAACATCCACAATTCAAAAAAAAAATCACTCTGGCGAATCTGCAGGCCAATTTTGTCTTTGAGGATTCCGTCTTAATCTTCTATGTCTGCAGCCCTTGTTTTCAAAATTTTTGGGAATTCCAGGTCTAATTTCGGTCGATTTAGCGTTTCCTTCCATTGTTTCACACGACGTTGTTTGTTCCAACCAACTTATCATTATTTTGTAGCGTAAGCAGTCATTGACTGATTGGCTTGATACCCCTTTCTTGAGGGGCAAGTATTTGATTTATAAACGTAGAACATCAACAGACAAGTGGCTGAACTTGTGGCAGATATGAACCGTAGATATACAGGGTGTGAGGGTCCCTTCCTGACTATTTCGCTTCATAGCACTTTGGCCATTGTGCATGCTGCCCCTCTCATTTCAATCACAAAAAGTGGGAAAGACGGCTCACGTATTGTTACGAACTGGGAACTGGTTGGAAATGGAGGATTTGGATAAGTTTACGAAGGCATTTGTTTGGCCACATAAGTTCCGGTTGCCATCAAAACTCTCAGCAAGTGGGATGGCACCATGTTTCAATCACCAGCTGTCTCAGGGCAGCTCTTGCAGCTGTTGCTGTGCACCTTCTGTTATCTGTACTGTTGCCAACTGCACATTGGCTCAAACAGACTCAAGGCTGTTGCCATGATTGCGCACAGACATTGATTATGAATGAGTGGGATTGCTGAATGATTTTGACCGATGAAAAGGGTCTCAATATTTTGGAACTATCAATTTGCAGAGTTGTCAATATTTTCCTGCAAAACCATGGCGCGGCAGAGAAACAAATCTGCGCAACCGGAGGCCGCGGTTTGGGCAGTGGCCGTTACGCCGTAGCTGGTCATTCAGCTGGTGGTTGACACTATCCTGCAAGATGTTGTGATTGGCTCATCAAAATGGGTTAGTCCAGAAATGGGGTATATCCCAAGATGGCCATTTTTCAAAACCATTGATTTTCAGGTACCGACATTTTTGAAGCAGTTGGGCAGTGAAAGGATCATGTTTCGATTCCATCTTGCAGGCCAACTCAAATGGGTTCGGAACTCGGTTGATGAGGTGGCTCAATGACCAGAATAAAACTGGGAATTACGGCCGACGAATTATTAGGACCGTGTCATCTTACGGAATGCGGACGGTCCGTTGGCCGTGGATTTTTGGGGTTACTGCACTGCAGGTAACTTGACCGTTTTTTGGTTCAAGTGGTCGCGCAGAGACATCCAATTTGGTAGCTGGTCCGACGACCAGAGTCGAGTCAGGCTTGGGATGGGCATGGTGAGATATGGGGATGGGTCACAACATGTCACAACCCATTAACTACAATATTTTGGGGGAACAAATTTCATCAAATTTCCATTGACCAACTATTTTTGGGTACCAAAAACTGTGCAGTTTTGATGAAAACCTGGTGAGTTTTTGTCTCTGGTGAGTCCTCAGGCGCGCTGCGGCTTTGCGATGGCGTTTGATCCCAGTTTTTTTAGCAGTGCTTACAGGCTCGACAGCGCCCCCGGCCACTGTTTGGCCTGATCCTGGTGCGAAAAAACCAGTATCTGTCAAGACAGTCAAGACCAACGGTCCTTGGAAGCTTAAGTTGGCCTTTAAACAGTAATATCATATTTTTAGCATAGTATATGATATTTATACTGCATACCATCCCATGTTTTTTTTTTGCCAGTTGGGCATGAATTTCCTTGCCTTTTTGTGCTTGTAGGCAATGCATAGGGCGCGGGATGTCGCACAAGGAGACTTAGTCGTGCAGACACTCCATGCGCTTACATAACAGTCTGATCCAGAATCTGTCACGAGTGGGTAAATTTCTCAAAATATTCATTATTGTTGCATATTGATGAATTGAAACATAGTCTCTCAATGTCTCTCACATTTCAAGCCAATCCCAAAAAAACAAGAAATTTGGCTGGCAGCCAAATCACGATTTCCTCCTTTTCCTTTTCAGGAGTGTGTCAGCAGTATGCCCAGCTTTCCATCCGGGCCTATGGCATCCCTGGGCCCAGAGATGTCCAGCATCTTGGTCCAAGGGGATCCAGTTTCTTTTCGGGATCCTTTCGGAAGGATTTTTTTTTTCCAAACCATACATGGGATAAAGTGAATGATAAAATAGGATAACATGAATTCGGAAAAGAACATCAAGTAAAATTTATTTCCAGGATTACTATGGTTACTGGACAGGTTTTAGTAACATTATGGAGTACCAATACCACCAATACCAAGGATGAACGGATATGGGTGTGTCTGAAAATAGTGTACCCCTAAACCCAATGGTTAATGATCATTATCCCTATTAAATGGCTATTTCATTGGGAATATACCAATGATATACCAATGGGATTGCCATCCGGGAAAATTGAACCCACCGACGCATCCAAAATGACTGAGGTGCCATCGGCTGTGTCAGCGAGAACGGCAGCGTGGCCTCCATGGTACCCTCTGGTGAACTAACATAGCAATGGAAAATGGCCCAGTCGAAATAGTGGATTTTCCCATGAAAAATGGTGGATCTTTCCATTGCTATGTTAGTTCACCAGAGGGTAATTCAGAATATTCATATGAGTATAGCGACGGTTTTTCGGAGGCATTCTAAGTGCGCAGGGAAAAAAATAACAAACACGGAGGCATTCTAAGTTTCAGTCTGTCACTATATTTTGTTTGTGAAGATCAGAATGACTCCCCTGACATTCGAATTCTTTGCTCAGCCGAGGGGGCGACTTCAGCAAGTGCACCACAGAATTGGATGCCCTGGCGGGCAAGAAGGACTGGAGCCATTTGGCAGGGGTTGGTGAAGGGCCTGGTATGTGGGGATTATATTGCCAAAAATATATGCATCTGTTGGAGATGACATATATCCACATTATTTTGTTGGGTGATTGGGTGACGTGAAAAATGAGGACAGTTCCCAACCAAGGTCTTCAGACACCATATTTTGTCACATCTCGAAACAGAATAAATATATATTACCCACAGAAACACTGAGATATCTGCAAGGTGAGGCCCCTCAGTAACCCTATATACAATATATATATATACATACACTTATATTCCCCATAAACCATAGTTTTCTTGAAGTTTTTTCTGTGAACAATTCGGCATTGGTTTCTTTTCACGGTCTCGGATGTCCATTTTTTCCAGTTTTTTATGGAAAAGTGGCTGTGGCCAGCCACAACCCAGTAATCTGTCATCAGAGTCATCACCATTTTTCGGGAATGGTGGGATGAAACACCATTCCCGAATGGCTGGTTTACTACTGTTTTACCTACAAAAAACATTCCTTATATAGTCGGGTTATAATAGTACCGTCTAATAATTTAACAGTTTGCGTTTTTAAGTGAATTTTCCTTTTTTTTGCTGTAAGTAACTCATTTTCATAGCTATGCTACACTTCTGCCACAATTTCCTATATGATTTAACTAAGCCGCCGTTCCGTGAATTGCAGGCTGAAGAGGTGAAGAGCACCATGCAGCAAACATCGGATTTCTGTTCGAAGGTGATCCGACGATTTTTTTTTTTGATTTCACCAGTGACATATTGTGGTATATGTGGCGAAAACTTCACTGATGTGACTGTGCCAAAAATGCCTCCACGAAGGATCCTCCATGTTTTTTTTTTTAAATGTCCTAGCATTTTCCACAATTGATGGCAATGTTCAAGAGGAAAATGCAAATCAAACTGGTCAACTGATCTTTTGCATTTCTTTACCAGATGGGAATGGGGTCGTGCCCAATGATGGCACGATTTTTTTCGCATCGGAGGAATGGACAGCGAGTTCAGCAGGTTTCCAAGGTTTTGAGCCATAGATTTAGTGCAACTGGAGATTCATACGAATCCAGCAAGAAATTTCATGGACACAGCCATCGAAGTTTTTCTTTGAATAGTTTCTGCTGGTTAAATCAACATTTCAACATGTGAACTGCTTCTAGTTTTGCGTGGAGCCCCCGGAAAAAAAAAAGATTGAGACTGTTAATCATTGATGTACCCGCATCCATTGGTATATTCTCAGAAAAAATCACACTGTGTCACTGTCCAGGCTGGTTTGAAGCTACTGGCTTTGCCCATTGCCTATGTAGGTGGGATGCTTCATTGTGCCGCAATGGGAGGCTTTCGATTCTGGATATTCTGGGGACGGGGAGAAAAATAAGTCGCCTGTGGTCTTCACGACGACCAGGCCTCAAGTTCATCAAGATCAAATGAGATGGCAGTCCGATCATGGCCATTTTCGCACCGCACATGTTGAGATCTTTGAGATGGCAGTTGGTTTGATGATTTTGATGGCAGGTGGCGATGAAAAAACAGCAATGCATCAGCAATACATCCATAGTTTGCCATAGTTTGCCATAGTTTGCCATAGTTTGCCATAGTTCATGAAGAATCCAATACTTCAAAAAATACTTCAATAGGTGGCAGGATTCCTGACATGTGCCAATTGGATTTCGAGTAACGCAGGAAAAAATGCGTGAGCACCCGATGGCGGTTTTGTGTTTTTTGCTGAGGGCCCCTGTAGCTTCAGCCGCAGTCCGGGTGTGGAGCTATAAACACTACGAAGCCGCAACGTTGTGGGCCCAGGTGCTTTATGTTCGCAGGAGAATGCCAACAGCCGAGGTGTGATGTCAAGAGTCAAATGCATAGAATCTACACTTAGCTTGGTTTCAAGCTGCTGAGTCTGGGGCTTAAGCTCTGGTAAAACTAGTATCGCAATATGTTTTTTTTCCCTTCAGCATTATCCATCTGAGTCCATTTGAGTCCATAGAATATTTTTCCACTTGGAAAGGTAGGTGGTTGTATAGCTAGAGGGTAGGTAGTCCACAATCATTCCACACGAAGAGGCCCTGGTTACCATCGTGAGAGGCTGGGGTACTGCTGGATCAAGAGACTGATTTGAGGGTCGAAAAATTGGGAGTCCCCGGCTATCTCCAGGTTCTTGGCAATTTTGAATGGGGAAAACCGTCACCACCGATGGTGATTTATGGGGCACCCCAGCCATAATCCCACCGAGAATGGCTCGCTGAATATACCCTTCAATTCTGAGTCATTGTCTTGTGTGATCCGCTTGGTGAGTTCAGATGTTGCATAATTTAATGTGAAAAACCAGAAAATCATACAATATATATATATATATATAATATACATACATAATATAATATATGCACATACATATGTATATATATATATATGTATATATATATATATATTGACTATTGACATATATATATATACATATATATATATACACATACACTTACACATCATATGTTTCATCCTACCTGGATGATCTCTAAATTGATCTTCATGGATGAAACCAGGCTGAACCATTACCAGTTGTGATCCTTGCCAGGATCGTTTTTTTTAGAGCCTGAAGAGGAGTGGCTTCAATGGGAACATCCTTTGCCATGGATGTTTGAACATCAAAATAGCTGGTAAATGGATGTTCATCCCACTAAAAATGGTATTAATAGGTATTGATCCATACCCAAATAACGAAGTTGTTGAAGCCCCATTCGGCTTACGGCTTCATGGTGGCCCAACAGCGAATGGCCGCCAATGCGTCCAGGATTGGGTCGACGTTGCTTCGAGAACAATCTGGAGGTTTGCTCCTTCGAACAACTTGCCTGGCCCTCTTGGCGATCGTTTGATGGGGCTTGGGTTGACGAATGGGTTGCAGTTTTTTTTGAAGCGGATCTTTGTTGAAGGCTTACAGGGTGATATCAAGACATCATCCAGCAACAGCAACAGCTTCCATGCCTGATTTGAGTCGCTGAATTCTTCAGTGGACAGCAGACGTAGAGCCCACGAGCTGGGTTCAAGCAGCTTCTCAATGCAACAAGAAAAACACGAAAGCGAACTAAGCGAACCCCCAATGAATTGGGAAAAGCCTCGGAATTTGCTGAACGGGGCACGGCACTTGCCGTGCCATTCCAGTGCTCACCATGAAATTAAACATTGTTCCAAGTATGACAAGGATTTTGATCGATAGAATCGATAGTAGATAGTCTTTGAACATTGAGACTGTCACAGCAGCATCAAACATATTTTGATGGCGAAAGTCCTGATCCGCAGAGCAATTGAACAAGGGGCACCAGCTTACAATGCCAACTACTCAGTTCTGGAGTTTGAGCGGTCCAGTTTCATAATTTGCAAAGGGCTTTGATGGACTTGGTTCCACCGAAGCCTGGTCCGTTACATCTCACTGCATTGTGTCCTGAAAGTAAGCCATGGGGGATCCAGGGATCCCTGGCTTCAGGCAGGTCAAGTGGAACGCTGCGAGATTTATCAGGACACCCTGCATGGAGGTTTCCTAAGTCACAAAGTACCCCAAAATCACCAAAAATAGGTTGTTATATGGTTGTTATCAATGGGAAAACATGGGAAAACCAATGGTTTGGGGTACACTCAGTCGACCCAATATTTTAGGAAACCTCTAGATGGCTCAGTGTCCAGGGGATATTGGGTCGGCAGATTTTGGTCCTGTTTGATGCATTGAAATCATTGAAATATGTTACATATGTCACCGTTCCCTGTGAACATAGGTCCATTGATTTTCCCCTCATTTGAGAATGGCTCAAAACCAGTTCAACCATGTTCAACCATGTTCAACCCCTTTACAGGAGACCTCCAGGGAGCTGCTTCAAAAGCACCGACAGGAACTCCAAGGTTCGGTGGTGTAAGGGGCCCCAGGGTGTCCCGTGGATGGGTTGCTTCACTGTGATAAGGTGATGGGTTGAGAAGTTGGTATACCCAATGCCGTAAACGGTCCGCAAAACTCCCGAATGGTAGGTTGATGGCATTGGGTTTCCCACAGTATCAAAGGAAGTTTCGTAGAGAAACTCTGAGTTACGGAAAAAGAACATTCCCAGTCCCTCAAAGATCGTTGTGTCCAGTTGGCACGTGATTGAAGTAGAGAAGTAGCTCAAAAGATCATGAAGTCTAGTTGGCATGTCTCTGGAGCAGAGGAGGAGCTCAAAAGATCGTTAAAAGAAGAGTAGAGTAGAGTAGACTAGAGTAGAGCAGAGTAGGGCAGAATGGAGTAGAGTAGATGAGAGAGGAGAAGAGGAGGAAGGAGGTGCTTTTGCATCATGTGTTGCGTCTTTTTTTGTGTCTTTTGCAAATCATTGTTGCTAGATCGCATTGGAACTGCTACACCCAACATGCCGTTTGAATGTTAGGATTTGCATGGAACATTGTGTTTTTTTCGGGTAAACGGACGCTCCGTTGCAGAGAAAAGTTGACTTGCTGTCGCGACGGTTTTGGGCGTCGTTGTTGGGAAACGTAGGGTCGGCAGACTTAGACAACATTGGGCCTTCAAATCGAACGAACTTATTCACAACAAATTCAGACACACTGACTGGATATGATTTCCAAAATGACTGCGTGCCAACGTAAAATTTAGGCTTTGACTCGGGTGCGCACATGTGGCCAAGCAACCTTGGAACTTGCCGCCAAGTCTCAGCAATGGTTACATATTGGAAGAAAAAACCGCAATTTTCACAGGTTTCTTTAATTTGGATTTGGACCTTGAATGGCAAAGATCATAACAACTATCCTTTTGTCAAACCAACGACAGTGAACCATGTTCGTGCTGAAGTTCTTTTTTTAAATGATATTAAATGGTTTGAAATGTATTATCATCGTGACCAGAAAGCAAACAAATCATGGTAAACCAAAATAGAAACTCACAGTTTGTGATCTCAGGCCTCAGGCTAATAATATTTTAAAGCCTTGCGGGGAACCTCCAGCTTTGATGTTATATATATATACACATTTGTAACAATTCTAATCAGTTTTATCACCATTGAATCCGGAATTCTGTGCTTGGTTAAGATTTAGACATTCGCTTCATGATTTTGGGTTTTCGGTTTTCTTTTTCCATTTTGTAAGCATCCATTTTGTGCCCGCATCCAACTTCCTCGACTGTGGCAGACCAGCCAATTAGGACCGCTTTGGAAGAAGATTTGCAGATATCCATGGCCCTTTTTGATGCTGGAAAAAATGAGGCCCTACTGAACTCCATTTGCTGTTTCAGGAGTGAAATTTTTTGGGATGGAATTCACTCGCTGTTGGATTCGTTTGACTGTTCCAACTGCAGGTTGTGACATGTGTGTTGAGCTATCTTTGACCTTCAGTGGTAGGACCAGTGCTTGTTGATACGTAATCACAATCACACAACCTTGATTGGATTGGTTTAAGGGAAAATTTACAGGAAACCATAGATTTTCCCATTAAATATGGGGCTTTCCTGTAGATTTTCCCTTAAACCAATCCATTGAAACCTCGCACCCAAAGTTCATGTCTGGCATATTCCCACGGAAACACCTTTTTTTTTTTTTTCCGACTTTTCACACGTGTCACCAGGTGAATCAGCTGGCATGGGCTTTCCGCAGAGCCTTCGATGAACAACTGGTGCCAGCCTCACCTAACCCGTTTTGAGGGATTCAAAATCCTCGTTTCGATGAACAATTTATAGATCTGCAGTTGTCCAAAAAAGCATCCTGCTGTAAATTTTGACATAGATGTGGAAAACTCACCATCTGTAGGTCATTTTCCTAGGGAAAACCATGGGTTTTCCACATCTATATTCATCGATATTATTAGTTTACCCTGGGGTTCTGTTTATGAAATCTTTAAGCAATCCATCTCTTTACGAAAACTTAGAGCGTGCTTTCTTTTAACCTCAATGTTTTCGATGCTTAGATGGAGAAAAAGTCCCTGTGGCCCATTTCTGGACAAACCCATAATCTTGGCAAGCGCCGATCATGACAAGATTCTCACCAACAACCAATGGTGTCTGGCCCCCAAAAGCTTGGAAAACACCATGATCTCACGGAATTTCTCATCATTTTCCCCATGAAAATTCCCATCATCCTGAAGGGGTATAGAAATCCAATCCAGTGGTTATTTCGCAGTTGTTTCCTTCTAAACGTAGCAAGTCTGGTTGAATTGCACACTTCGGCTTCAGCTTCCGCTCCAGGCGGCCGAGGAGTCTGCCGTATCATCTGCGAAGATGATGATTGCCGCGGCGATTCGTCGAGGCTGAGTCAGGGTGAAAAGTTCTGGAGTTTTGGTTCGAAATCGGAGAAAAATGCTGAACTTGGCCTGTCAACGACACGCTGAACCGGATTTTGTTGGCTCTGTAATCTGCAAAGTCTGGATTAGTTGTAAGACCTGGCTGAAATTCATGTGAATTTCCTCCATGACGGTGATTCGGAAGGTCAAGGAGAATGTCAGAAATTTTGGGATCCACATAGGTTGTTCACCGGCAATCCCATCCGTGCCACCGCTGGTTGCTGGTTTTAAGGCGTCCCATTGTACAACAGTGGCAATGCCAGTGGCTGTGCCGAGGCCGGGGCACAGCAGGTCTCAGTGGTCACTATCATTCACTACAAAGTGGTGCCCCATAGTTAGCTAAGTTGGTGAACATAACTCCAATAACTATGGTTTATGGTACTTATAACTATAGTTAATGGGGTTATAAACCATCTTATAACTGAGGGGGCACCACCTTGTAGGAATTTGCTGGAATCCTTGTCCAGGACAAGGTCTGCAGAGGTCCTATCAGAGATGCGTTTAATAAGAGCGCAGGTCTATGCCGAGACGGCGCGAAAGCTTCTGAGCGGAGCGGGAGGTGCCATCAAAATCATCCTGTCTCCATCATGCACCACGATCCTGGAAAGTTTGTGTGACGAGTTTACCTTCAGCAACAACTCTCAGGAGATCCACCGAACTAAATGGACGTTTATAGCTGGGAAAATCATCGAACTAGAAATGGGGGATTTTCCATCAAACCACGTTTGATTCCCTGAGTGTAACATCCATTTTCAGAACCAAGGGGGAAATGATGGCAATTGGTACAGGACGTGCCCTGCCTCTCTATTTGATTCCCCAAAAGAAAATCATTGGGCCAGAGTTAGAGCTCCAAAAATAAGTTATAGGAACCCGCAAAAAGATGCCGAACACTGTGAAAGCAGGTTGGTGTAGGCATAGATCATATTTCCCACATATTTCGAGGTGTCCTACTTTTCCATACCCAAAGATAGGTCCAGCTATCGCCTGCGGTCGCTGTGGCAGCTAGAGGCCCACTGAGCTCCAACGTCCAAGCTGCACTGCAGCAAGAAACTCAATGGGCTCAGTGGGGTTGAACGGGGTTTGTCCATTTTTAATGGGATATTAATGGGATTTAATGGGATTTTATATCAAAGAATCTGATAATGGGATTGTTTACCTTCTGGTAATGAAACGTGGCAACGGACAATCACCCATTTATTTCGATGATTTTCCCAGCTATAAACATCCATTTGTTTCGGGTATTTTCATTGCCACACTTGATGACCGACGCGTTTCAATCTCTACTGGCATATGAATGGGATTCAATGGGATATAAAACCAACAATACAATATTTGGGTGTGCCTGGAAATGGGGCATCCCGCCATTTCATGGCCACTGAGACACGGGACAAATGATTGACGAATGGATTTAGGGAATGTACCCCAGCACTTACAGATGCAGGTTTTGTTGTTTTTTTTTGTGATTCTTTTTCAGAATCGGAGTATATTTCGGCATTGTCAGGATGCCACACCTCAATTCTGCCAGCAAACAGCACCATGGATTGGTTGAAGGGACCCACCATTTTTCCGCTTCATGAGATGCAATTCTTGGAACCTATCCAAAGCGCGAATATAACAGCTATGGCTCTGGGTGGTCCCCATAGTTTTGAGGAATTGCCATACATCTGGGAGGTCCAACTAGCCGCAATCTGCTTTGACCAGCCATAGAAACATATTCATCCCGTTGAGCGCTTAAAAGCGCACTGTGCTCACAGCACGGGCACCGGTAAAGGACTCACAAACTCGTTGTTTTTTTGAGTGCAAACCCTTGATTGCTTTGGGTAAACCATTTGGAGACCATAGCCATTTGCCATGGTCAAAAAGATTGGATTACACCCCCATTCCTGGGGGATGGTCATTTCCCCATTAGTTAATCTAATTATGAAACATCCGTTTATATCCATGTATGATAGTGGGGATGGCCATACCCCATACATCTATACATTTACATGTATATATATATAATATATATATATGTATATATATATATGTAGACACATACATATACACATACACACACATACACATATACACATACACACACACATACATACGTACGTACGTACGTACGTACATACATACATCCATACACGCATACACGCATACATCCATACATCCATACATCCATCCATCCATGCATACATAGGTACATCCATCCATTTTTTGAATCCAGTCACCACCATGCCAGTGGTCGGTGACGAATGGCTGCTCTGTGCCAGTTCTCACAATATCGTTTGGTAGACAGAATGCAGGATTTGTGATTTTGAAGTTCCTGTTCCAAGTACCCCGGGTGTGTCCAACTGATTTTAATTTTCAACCGCCCAGGCCCCCCGAGAGTCGGGCAGGGCCCCTCAAGCAATGTGACGTGTAAGTTTCACCCACTTCAACTTGGTTCTGCTTGAAGGACCATGGTGACCGTGCTGGTCAATTCCTTACATCCATCCATCCATCCATCCATCCATACACACATACATAAATACATAGATACATAGATACATAGATACATAGATACAAAGATACAAAGACACATGGATACATGGATACATGGATACATAGATACATAGATACATAGTTACACAGATACATAGATACACAGATACAAAGATACATAGATACATACACATACATACACATAGATACACGTAGATACACATAGATACACATAGATACACATAGATACACGTAGATACACATATTTACACAAAGATACACATAGATACACATAGACACACACATAGACACACATAGGTACACAAAGATACACATAGATACACATAGATACACATAGATACACAAAGATACACAAAGATACACATAGATACACAAAGATACACAAAGATACACATAGAGACACATAGAGACACATAGAGACACATAGATACACATAGATACACATAGATACACATAGATACACATAGATACACATAGATACACACAGATACACAACACACAGGCATACATACACATACATACACATACATACACATACAGACGCATACACACATACACACGCACATGCAAACATATACGCACATATACGCACAGATACACACACACACATATACACACATATACACACATACACACACATATACACACACATACACACATATACACACATATACACACATGGGAACTCTAGCCTGCTAGAGTTCATGATGAGCGTCAACGTGCATTAAGTTTAGGATAGTAGCTTCACTTCCGAGCCGGAAAAAGTTGGAGAGTGCAGCTGCGCCTGTCAGTTCTTTGATAATCATGCGTTTGTGTCGTGTGTGCCACATAGATGACATTGAAGACGGATTTTGTAACTCACAAGATTTTGGATCAAGAAAGTAGCTGTGACCCTGGGAATGGAGAGTGGCGACGCAGGGCCTTCTTCCGCCTGGTCGTAGATTCTCATCGCGATCATAGGGGCACTCCTTACTATGACGGCTGCTGAGTTAGGTGAAATATCGGTGCAGATCGGATTAGTTCTCCAACGGCGACCTGGCCCACCGACTGTGGCATCAGAACCTGGCATTCCTGGGGTGCATCACGTTGGAGCTGCATTGTCCTCAGCTTCAACAGCCAGACCTGAGCCCCAAACTTCGCTTGAAGTTGCGCCAGTGTGGTGCGTATGCGCCAGGAAGTGCTTCGCATGTGGCAGAGATTGGTGCAGTGAGCCCGGGCTCGGTGCTACGGGAGGGTGCTGTACTATGTTTGTGCACCCACAGAGTCAACTTTGGAACTGTGCGCTGAACTTGCGCTAGGGGCATGCAGTGCATACATTGCATACATTGCATACATGGCATACATTGCATACATTGCATACATTGCATACATGACATACATGACATACATGACATACATGACATACATAACATACACCACATACATTACATACATTACATTCACACATCCAGCCATACATTGGATACATTGCATACATGGCATACATTGCATACATTGCATACATTGCATACTTTACCTACATTACCTACATTACATACATTACATACATTACATACATTACATACATTACATACCATACCATACCATACCATACCATACCATACCATACCATACATACATGCATACATACATACATACATACATGCATGCACAAATACATACATACACAACATACATAACATACATAACATACAGAACGTACATAACTTTCAAAACACACATACATACATAACATACATAGCATACAAAACATATACAACATACATAACACACATAACATACAGAACATACAAAACATACAAATCATACATAACATACAGAACATACATAACATACATTGCCTACATTACATACATAACATACATTACATACACAACATACATAACACACATAACATACATAATACATACATACATACCATACATACATACCATACATACCATACATACCATACCACACCATATCATACCATACATACCATACATACCATACATACCATACATACATACCATATATACCATACATACCATACATGCCATACATACATACATTCATGCATACATACATACATACATACATACCAACCATACATACCATACCATACCATATCATACCATACCATACCATACCATACCATACAAACATACCATACATACGATACATACCATACATACATACCATACATACCATACATACCATACATACATACCATACATACCATACATACATACCATACATACATACCATACATACATACCATGCATACCATACATACCAACAATACATACATACCATACATACCATACATACATACCATACATACCATTCATACCATACATACCATGCATACCATGCATGCCATACATACCATACATATCATACATACCACACATACCATACATACCATACATACCATGCATACCATGCATGCCATACATACCATACATACCATACATACCAGACATACCACACATACCATACATACCATACATACCATACATACCATACATACCATACATAACGTACATACCACACATACCACACATACCATACATACCATACAAAACGTACATACCATACATACCATACATACCATACATACCATACATACCATACATACATACCATACATACCATACATACCATATATACCATACATACCATACATACCATACATACCATACATACCATACATACCATACATACCATACATACTTTACATACCATACATACCATACATACCATACATACCATACATACCATACATACCATACATACCATACCATACATACCATACATACCATACATACATACCATACATACATACCATGCATACCATACATACCATACATCCATACATCCTATAGTTGTCTCTATATACTCACGATATTCCCATTATATACCCCATGATTCTTGGTGAAATCGCCCTGTTTCGTCCCATGGAACTTGACCATGGCATCATGATTTCGAGGCAGGCGGTAGACACTCCATCTGAACCAGACGCGCGAGCCTGGGCCCTGCGGAGAGCTTTAGATGCAGCTTCCAACCAGGCGCCGCGGTGATCGCACCCAGGAACCATTGGATCATCATATAGGGATGGGTCAAGTTATGATATTACCATATGACTGGGGGAATAAACATCCATGAACCAGCTATGTTAGGGTACCTAGGGTCCCAAGGTTTTGACGAAAACAGTAATATTTTCCATGGAATTATCCATATTTTCCATTGGATCATTATCATTGAGGATATACAATAATCATGATGATACTTTCATTGTATTGAGCATTGCTATTTATTGGAAATTTTCAGACTCGGTTATTTCTTGCCAGAGACAGCAAACCTTCAATGCATTTCGTTTACTCTAGGTGTTTTCTTTTTTCTATATCCTGAAACTAGAAGGAATTTGTCTGGAACTAGCAATGCAGCAAAAAACACAATCCAATGATCTATCATAACTTTCCCAACGAAGAAATACAAATGAATTGGGGGCACGCTCCATTTTCTCAGCATTGCTTTTCGCTTGCAGGTCTCTGTTGACATTCGCTCCAGAGATAAGTCCCGTGCCTTCCGTGCCTTCACAGAAGGTTGTGAAGGAGGGGGAACATACAATAAAACATTTGGAAAACGGACAATTTGGAAACGGAAATCATCTATCCATTGGTTGTTTCCAATATTTCCAGCGCTGTGAAAACAGGAACGCTCGACGTAAACCCAAGTAGGCACTGCCTGGTGAAAGTTATAGGCCCTCACAAGATGGTTGACCCTCACATAGAAACGATGACAGGTTTTCGAAGCTGAGTCATATGGGTGTTTGTAAATGGGGCTATACCGGCGGCTATACCCCAAACTTGCCATTTAATGCAGACAATTATGATTAACTTGCCATGGATTTTAGGGTGTATTTTCAGACAAACCCACATAATTTCTCTTGTGAAGGAATTTCAACGCCCTTGGACTTGAGCCCGATGTCTCCTCACCAGTACTTTCCAGATAGAATTGTTATCAATCTCTCCCAGATGAGTTTATTTGAACACATGGTACTTTCCACTTTATCGTTTTATCACTTTTATCACCATTATCACCATTTCGCAAAAAGTTGGCGAGAAATCCACAATGACAAAGCCAGCTACTCGTGATTTCGGGGGTCCATTGTGGCATATTGTGGCAAAGGTCCCGGGCTACTTCGTGATTTCATCACAAATCAAGGATTGGAGGTGCCAACCTTGTGCCACCCTTGTGTCTTGATTCGTAGAAAATTGGTCATGACTTCTGTCTTTCTTTTGGGTCCATAATTTTGAGAATGTTGGGATGCATCCGCAATAAGGAGTGTTCGAGATGTTCAAATGGATTGAATTTCCAATTTTACAGAAGGCACCTCACATCCATGGGAAGTGTTCGTGCCTTACATCAAGGATAACTTGCAGATTTGTCTAGGACCCAGACACACCCGGACACACCAGTATGACTATGACTGATACACATCTGGCTGACAGCCCCGTTGCAAGGAGCAGTTTATTTGGGTATTTTCAATGGTGGGGATGTGTAAAAAAAGGCAGTGTTCATTTGCAAATCATGGATCATTGATTATTGCTTGAATTAGAGTGTTATGGATTCGAAAAGGGGCCAGCATTCTGTTCACAAGACAAAAGGGGGATACACACATGTCTTTCTCTACCAAAAAAACCACGGTGGATTTTTGGTATCCCTATTCTTCGGACGTACTCTTTCCTCAGCAAGTTGCGCGTGCAAATAATATAGATGGATGGATAGTTGGACGGATCGCTGATTAGGTGGATAGACAGACAGACAGACAGATTAGATAGATTAGACTAGGTTAGATTAGATTCGATTAGATTGAATAGATAGATCAGACTGGGATAGAATGGATCAGATGAGAAAAGATTAGATGAGAATAAAGTAGATACGTTCGCACACACACACATACGTATACGTATACATATACATATACAAATACAAATACATATACATATAGAAAGGTCTGGAAACTAGATTTAAAGGGTATTAAATTCGATTTTAAGCTTCTCTTATTTTGGCCACCAGGTCACCAGGTCCTCCCTGCAGGCAATATATTTGAATCTAATCTTGGGGTATCTTTCTATTTCCATGCAGTGTTCACATTCGATTTTAATCCTTCGTCACTGCCATTGTCTTGCTGGGGAAGCTTAGATTTGAATGTTGGCCATGCATAGTTTTTCAGCTACCAGGAGAGTTAAATTCAGATTTATGTTCTTGCAACGCTATATTCATCGGAGTTCAAAAACCAAATTTAATTCCATTGTGGATTCACTGGGGCATGATCCTGTGGCTTTATATTCGCATGTAATCCGCAGATGGCGGGCCAAGCTGTTGTTCCCTCTGAGAGGGATTCATCTGATGAGGGTCCGGCAAGTCCTGTGAAGGGGCGTCAGCGAAAATCATGGGAGGTCATTTGCAAGCAAGCGTTGGATCCCAGTGAGTCATTGAGGCGTGCAGGGCAGAAATGGCTTCAGCAACAAGGCATTCTCCATAAGACTCTGATGGCTTCATCTGACAAGGGTGTGAATACCTTGATAGCTCGATGCTCCAGCTGTTTGAGTTGCAGCAAGCAGTGGTGCTTTTCCAACAGGGAGGGTCAGCTCCAGGTAGAGACAGTTGGTTTCTGTTCTGGTGACAAAGATTTAGAGCGACTGAAACGCTCGCATGCTAGGGCCTTCGCCAAGGATCATACTCCTGGAAGGGCATTGAAAAAGATGTCAGAAGCCAAGATCCCAAAGGATGAGCGACCAGAAGTTTTCCAGCTCAAGAACTGGAGGCCGAAGAAAGAGCAAACTGGCCCTACGGAGCATTGTGTTTCGTGTTTGGGGGATCTTCGAAAGTTTGTTTCGGATCCGCCAGCTGGCGTGACTGTTTTCCACGACAGCATGGTTTTGGAAAAGGAGAGAGTTGTGCTCGCTTTTGGTTTGAAGGAGGGCATCAATGAGATTCTGCAGGAAAAAAAGCTTTCCTGCTTTTGTTTGGTTTTTTCCATTCCAAACAAATCAAACTGGCTTACTTCTGGGAGCAAGTGGTGCAGCTGGTGTAGTCGTTGAAAGGTCAGGGCCGGCTGTACGGTTCTTACCAACGTTCTGCGTTTTGAGCAACAAAGAGGACGAGGTTGCCCAACATCTTGCAGCAAAACTCTTGCTTGAACAGACAGAGAAGCTGGGCGTTCCACTGTCACATGGTTTCGCAGACTGTTCATGCTACAATGCTGTAGCATCTTTGTGCGCACAAGAAGGGCTGAATCTCAAGCTACACCGTTGCCTCCAACATGTTGCTTGGTGTCACCAAGACAGGACGATATGTGCGTGTAGTGGGACATGTCCCTCGGATCGTCATGACCGAATGTACTCAGACTTCGGTTCAAAATGGCAGTGGGGCGTAGGGCTTCGCCTTTGGGTAGTATGGATTCCCTACCCGAGTTAGCTAGGCTAGGTGGTGGAGCCATGGAACTGGCCCAAGTCTTGGAAGGACTTGGTTGGACGGTACAGCGCTTGGCTACGTTGGCCGATGCGACCGATGACGAGCTGGACGATGTGGTTGGCCAGGCTGAGGAAACAGCTAAGAAGGGGTTCGCCATCAGGTTGCTAAAAGACTTGGTGGAACTCACGGTGCCTGCAGCTCGTATAGCGTGGAAGGCTGAAGGCAGGGCACCAGAAGGGGAGCTGATGCAAGCTCACCTGGCAAAACAGTTGCAAGACAAGTTGAACGAGCATCGTTCCAGAGCGGAGGCCAGACTCTTGCAGATCGTACCACGTCATGGGACGGCCAAAGTGGTTCGATGGCCCACGAGACTCCAGAAGAAATTGGAGATGGCTGGACCGAACCAAGCGTTGCGGGACAGCCTGGAGAGGAACGAGAGGAATCGATGGATCCGGGAATTGAAGGTGTTCCTGGATCAGGGCAAGGCACCTGTCATGCTTAGATGTCAGGTGATGGAAGGAGTGGATATGACCCGGCGATTCGGCAAGGGCCGTCGGTCGACCACACTGCGGAAGCATGTGAGGACTTGGAAGAAAGTCAGGGACTGGATGGCCGTCACCTTCGGCAAGTTCTGGCCAGAACATCCAGAAGAGTTTGCATTGTACTTAGAGAGTCGTGCAAACGAGCCTTGTGGACGGACGGTCCCAGGGTCTATTTTCAAGACGTTGTTGTTTATGGAAAATGCTGGGGAGTTCCCGTTGGAGGAACAATTGGGAAGATCTCCGGCAGTGAAGAATGTGTTAGAAGAGATCAACTTGCAGCTGTCAGAGGAAGCTCCACGGTTCGCCAAGAAGGCGTGGCACCTACCACTGAAGGTGGTGATATGCCTGGAAGGCATGGTGCTGGACTACGGTTTGGAGTCCTATGTCAGGTGCTATGCCTGGTATAGGCTGATCAAGCTATGGAGTGGAATGAGGTTTTCTGATACTCAGGGGATGGATCATAGATCCCTTGAGTGGCAAGCGCATGGCATCACCGCTGTGCTAACCAGAACAAAGACCACGGGGCCTGGGAAGAAAGTGAGTCTTCTCAGGATATGGATCAGCAAAGAATGCTGGGTCCATGATGAGACGTGGATTTCCACGGGTTTCGAGCTGTGGTTGAAGCTGAGCCAAGAGTGTGGAGTCATGGACAGAGACTTCATGCTACCGGCTCCCAATCGGGACCTCAGCGGGTTTCTGAAACGAATGGCAAGTTACTCTTTGGCTTCGCGCTGCTCACAGGCGCTGTTCAAGGACATGAAGATTGGGTTTGAAGGCGCCACAGTGCCTCTCTTCGAACACGGAGTGGGGACTGTTTGGTCAGAGCACAGTGAAAGGGCTACTATGCGTACCTGGTCTGAGGCAGCTGGAATACCAGCGGAGATTCGCAAACAGATGGGCCGCTGGGGTCCAACAATCGACCAGGGCTACGAAAGAACATGGCGCGCCAACACAATCAGGGCGCAAGCAAAGGTGGCTGACTTCGTCAGGCGGAGCATTGGGGGGCAGGACCCCTTTGATGAGGCGCTGATCATGAGTGCCATTGCAGCCAGGATGGAGCAGATTGGCTGTCCAGGCGGCGTCATTGAAATCCAGATGGAGAAGCTGGCAGTTTTCGGGAAGGGTCGTCCCCGGAAAATCCTGAGACTGGGAGAACCAGAACAGGTGTGTGAAGAGGAATCTTTGGAACGAGACTGGAACTTGGTCGGGCATATGACAGAAGAGGAGACAGCAGTTCAAGACGACACAGAGGTGCCACCCGACTGTCCTTCCAGTGGCGAAGAACTGGGTGATCGGTGTGAGGCAGGTGAAATTGTCCCCAGAGGGGTCTTCGTCCTCAGTATTTGGGGACGAGGAAATCGAAAGACGCTTCATCGCGTGGGAGAGTGTCATCGAGTTCCTGGGGTTCACTACAAGAAGTATGAGGTGGTGGGAAATGATCCACCGGGATCCGATACGTTTCACCAGTCTTGCCGAGTGTGCTTTCCACGAGGCATGGCTGCAGAAGAGTCGGATAGCGAAGCTTCCGATGAAGGTGCCAGCTCCTCTGATTCAAGCACATCAGTGGACGAGTCAGAGGATTGATAGAGGCCGTGGGCAACCAGTCTGCGGACGGAGGCGATAAAGGAGATTTCAGTAGCTAGGGCCGGTTGAATTGAGGTAAAGTTTCAGGTGATCAACAGGCAATGAGAAGAGACTCATGGGTGCGAGGGCATTTTCTCATGGGAAGAAACCGTCACGTTTCTCAAGCGTGGAGGACTTGCATTGGGGGATTTTCTTTGGCTTTTCTTTGGCTTTGCTTGGAAGTTGACTGGTGAGTGTTGGTGTGTAGGGATGTCGTTGTCACTGTGATGGTTTCAGTTTGTGTGAATTGCCACATGCACGACATGTCGTCATGTTTGACCATGTCAGCTCAGGTCGCCGCAGCGATTCCAAGGTCCAGAGCCTGTAAGCCTAGGTGGTATATCGGCCGGTGACTTGCAATGGCCGACGCTCCACCAGATCTTGACACTCAAGAAGGTCTTCGAGATGCCGTGGCGAAGTTGGACCCTGACTTTCAGGGGTTGTTGGAACGGAAAGGGGTTCCAGCAAGGACGCAAGGAGTGTTGAGCAACTTGGGTGTGCCCAGCATCAGCAAGTTTGCAGCGTTGGCAGAGGCAGCCAGCGATGTGAGGGCCTTCGCGGTGGACCACTGCCAATTGGTAAGAGGT